CAAATATTATCTTCTAAATATCATATTTATCAGTCCGAGCAGCGTTTATTTATTTATTTATTTATTTATTTATAAACTACTATTACTTATAAGCACGGTTTTTTTCGTGGCACAAATTCGAACGCGCGATCCGCGATGCAACGTTCGCTGCGTAACAGCCGTTACGCGCTGACCGATGACAGCGACGCTTTAAAGCCACCGTGTTGAGGGACTTACCTAAAGCTAACTTTTCACCGGACTCCGATGGTAGTGTGAACGTCAGCATGGTCAGGAAAGACATCAGCACACAGGGTATGATCATGTTGAAACTATAATACAAAGTACGTCTTTTCATATGCACTGTAAACGTAATATCTGGGTACGGTTCTGGGCAACACGGATACACGAATTCTGAACGGTTAGCCAGAACAGCTGAATACAAAAATAAAGATAAGAGTAGTCTTAGTAATACTTCCTTGATTTGAAACCCCTAACTTATACGCAACATATGTCACCCCAATCTATTCTAAATAAAATACTATTTTTTCAAAACTTGGTTTTCCTTATTTTTTTAATTTATGTATATTTTATTTTAAGTTATTATATATTTACTGGTTTTGGTAATAGCGAAACCTTGAAATAAAAAAAGAGCTGAAAGCAGGGTAGTATTTGAATTGGATTAATGTAACCTACTTGTATATAAGCTGCGAGGGAGGTCAGTGTGGGTTCGAGCTCAAATGCGAAGCCAAGCTTTTGGCGTGGTCAGTTCGAGCGGCAAACATGAACTGACCCGCACTAACGAAATTATCATGTCGACTGCGTAAATACAAAACTTATTTATTTTAATTTAATTCTCTTTGACCTATTATCAACACTTTTAGGTGGGGAAGTTATACTTTAGGCTGGAATATAGTTAAATTGTTTAGACACACATTTAGTTTATTTATTTATGCAATTTTAGGCCGGATAACTACCGGGACATATTGACAGATATTCGGATATTCCTGCTGTTCAGGATCTTGAATAGATTATTGACCTGTTGGAGAGATATGGAATAGGCCAATGTTTGTGACGAGGTTGGCAAACGTAGACAATTTGAACAAAAAAGTCATAGATGTCGAAAATTAATGTACTAATAATATTTATTAATTAAATAAAACAAATTGCCTCAAAACCAACGACCCGACTAGACAGCATTGCGGTAAGTAATGGACAGTATAAAACGTCAATTACCCACAATTCTCTTCGTCTTTCCATCAACCATGTCCGATTTATGAGTCCCCTCAAATTTATTCAAAATGCTTCACACTTCTCTTTCGCAGATAACGATTTCCCGATTCCCATACAGTTCACAATAAAACACATACTGTTTTAAATTTCTAAATGTATTAATTTTCCCGGCAACAGCCTCGGGGATATTCGTGATGGGCAAATGTCGCACAGATAGGTGGTACTCATCTACTAAAGCACTGTGATTGAAGATTTATAACAAATTTATAAATATTTGCATATAAAATTATTCACGGGTTTTTGAAATGTAGTGTACTCACCTATGAGATCCCATTCTCCATTAGGCATGAAGTTGCTAATGTCTCCTTCTTCCCACATCTTCTGTAGATCCAGCTGAAACCCGTGGAATGTCCACGAACCAAACTTCATTTTACAGAACTGTTCATCGAACGGAAAGTTTGCCACCTCGATGGTGCATGTACTGCGAAAAATGCCAGGTGGGACCCACAGACAGGAACCATCAGAACTGATCACGACTTTGCTGGGATAAGCCCCGTCAAATCCATCGTCGGCACTGAATAGTAAACACAACATACAAACAAAAACATAGTTGAACTCTGATGACCTTGCCCTTTGTTATATAATATTATTACCTTTATCGTAGTTTTTTTCAATATGAATATGCATTGTCATAATTAATTTTGAATACAAACAAGTTTTGGGGTTTAACCAACAGTGGAGAATCAGTCTACCGAATGTCCTTGATAGATAAATATTTTACAAAAACATTGGTGCCTAATTTGATTAATTATTTTAAGGGACATAATTTCCAGCTTTATTCAAAGTAATTCAGATATTTTAGTATAAAAACAAATGCCTCATCGCAGAAAAAAAGTGCTGCATTTAGACGTGAATAGATTCATAAAACATGCAAGATAACAGAAAATCTTAGCTGGATTTTGTCCAAGTATTTTGTACAGGTGTCTGTCAAAAATTAATGATTCACAGAGACAAATATGAACTGCCTTATTATATTCATTGTGTGACTACTGTATTATTTGAAAAGTAAAGTCAACAGTACTGTTGCCTCATGGGAATCTACAAACACTGCAATCTTTGTTTTTGAAGTGCGTTTTTAAATCATTATTATAAAAGCTCTATCATTCTATTCTAATAGCTGAAACAAATTCATGTGAATTTTCGATTGTCGAATGAACTGTTTGTCAAATACAGAATACATATTTTTGAGTACAATTTTCTTTTCAAAATGTGGATGAAACATTTTGCTTTTTATGTGTTGTTTTTTATTTGGTAACTTTGGACTAAACAGATTTTCTATTAGCTTCAGATCTTGATCAAAGTTTGGCACCCAACTCATAGGAGTGCTTATATTGATTTACTGACATTTTTTTCTGTAAAGATTTTATTGGTAGGTTTGCAAATGTGTACCAGACTGTGCAAAAACCCTCTCCATTAGTTGGGTTTAAAACCCAGTCTAGTATTCCCATGGAATTTGGGTGATACATTACCAAGGATATTATTACAAGATAAATGATTTGCTTCATTGACAACAATGCATATTTCCACTGAGATCAGTGACCTTTGAATGTGTATCACCAGTGACCAGTCAAGTAGAAACAGTCAAAATATTTTTTCAGATTTTCTCAATTTTTGCATGACATTTTCATACAGGACATCTGTCGTTCATACTCTGGGAAGACTTTATACTGATGAATAAGGTAACCAAGTTTAATAAAGTTTGGAATAGAATTAGTAAAGTTATTGTGCACACAATATCAATTAACAACGACGACAACAACAACGCCGGACAGAAATTTTTCCCTTAATATACCTTTCCCTCCCATCTTTGATGGTACGGGCAAGGTAAAAATAAAAGCCTTATTCGCCACGTCATTTAATAAAATCTTACCTATAAGATGCGCCCTCTAGCGAAAAAGCGCTCCGTTACGTAAATGGGTGAAAGAAAGGTCATTCAATGTTGATATTGGTTTTAGCTGTAGTCATCCATCAACAAATAACAAATAATATGATTAAGAGATTTATTATATGTTAAATACTCTAAATTGCCAATGCCTGAATAACCAATCACTGCTGCCGTTTTTGGACGACATTGCTTAACTACTATGTCATTTAAACGTTTTAACGCTAGAGGGCGCGACTGATTGTTTAAGTGCGTTGTATTTCAGGTATACGACGATAACGCCATGTACCTGATGTCATATGCAGAGCTGACGACAAAACATGTGTGATGTCACAACTAAAAAAAAATAATTCTTGCCTATATAATGACACTCTCGCCGTAGGTTAAAATATGTTGTGACAGTGAATATAGAACCCTGGTGCAAGGTTAGGTGTAGGATGTTTCTTTTTACTTAATATTTTCTTTATTCTGGCATAGCATGCACCACACCGATGCTTGTCATATTCAGTATAGTGTCGTTTGTCTTGCACACTTCTCAGTATTCTAAGCAAGCACAACCATCAGCAGCGGAAAATACTAAAATATGTAGGAATTCTGATCTGGCATACCATAGTAAAGATGTCTAGTTTCGTCATTTCAGAATATGGAGGTGGTCCTCTAAAATTTCTAATGACCCCAAAACCCTCATCTACTTGTACAAGTCTGTCAATGACATTGGCTTGTTTTGATACATCAGCTGACAATGGGTCAATCATTTTTGGCTCCCGTCTGTGAATATCCGTCCGTCTGTCCGCCTTACCGTATGTATGTCTGTGACAAATCTTGTCCCTCTGACGCCCCAATGCCAAACCTGATTAGATTTTGGTAAAATCTGTACATATTAACTAGGTGAGTTGTTGGTTTTGTAATTTATTATCAGGATCCTGAGAATACATTACACTAATTTAACGTAATTTAGGTTACGTATATTGCTTTGAGTAGTCATGTTTTTGGTTTAATTCATGTTAATTTATTAGTGTATTTTAATTAACTGTTTCTTCTATTTTCTCTTAAAATGAAAGGAACACTTGAAAAGTGGATTGGAGCAAATAAATTGGAGTTAATAAAACATACAAGATTAATGTTTGTTTTAAAAGAAAATTAGATATTTTATTATTTACTGATTGCAGTGTTATGTCAATTATTATGTATGTTACATGTGTACATTCTAGTAGTGTAAACAAAAGCAGTAATTTTGATTACTTAAAGATGCGCTATATCTGAAAGAAGAAATCATTCTAATTAAAAGTGTTAGTGTTAGAATATGTGCAGAATTAAGGATTGTTAATTTTAGTGTATTATCAGTGCTATTATAAAGATATAATACTAGGTTGATGAAATCCTAAGCGCTTCTAGCACAATGTAACGAAAGACATTATTGATACCGCCCAAAGTGGGCGATACATCACAAGGGTTTCCCCGTTTGCCTGTCGTGTCGCCATTTTGGATGTGTATATAAATGGTATTGTGTCACGATTCATCGCCGTTGGGACGTTTTGAATCGCCAAGTTGCTGTTGATAATCTGTATTGGTAGATTTGTTATTTATTATGTGTATTTTTTGTCATTAATGCATACAAAAATGTATTTGAAGAGTCTATACATGCGCTCATGCATGTTTTGATTCATAACACGTGTTTAGTGATGTTCAAAGTTATGCGACTAGTTTGCTATTATGGTGCTGCTATTCACATATATGAACTGCAGGAAGTAATTCGTACTGAAGTATTCTCACAATTTGAAGTTTCCTGCCAGTAAAATACATGTAGTTTATCTGAATAATCAACGCTTATTGTACTTTTAGATATCACCCTTGTATTGATCAGTGAGAAAATATGTAAATTTACCAAAGCTGGGTAATCCCGGTGGAAAAAATGTTTCTTGTGTATTCCATGGTTTTGTTTGATATGTTGCCAAGTTGTGGGTAGACTCGATACCATCTATGGTACATGGATGCTGTAGGACAATGCACAAACCTGTTTAGTCGTGGTTTGTATATTAATCACCTTATTTGCAAAACATTTCATAATATTATGCTTTTCCTTTGATATCTCAAGTACTAATCATAACATTTCAATGAAACTTGGTACATGGATGCTCCAGAACAATGCACACTCCTATTTAGTTGTAATTTGCACATTAGTTACCTAATTTGCATAATAAGTCAGATTTCAGCTTTTCCATCAGTATCATATGTACTTATATACATATATATATATAGGTACTTATACATATATATATATATATATAGTACATACACACATACTCTGAAGACAATCACGGACGTGATTGATAATGAAAAACATGCATAATGATTATTAAACAATTTAAAGATACCTCAAAAAATCAGATTTAATTTGAACTTGAGATAGAGGTGCTCTGGAATAAATTAGAAAACCACAGATCAAATGTATTTTCTGTAAGTATAAATTTCATTAATGTTTTCATGTAGTTGTAAATGCACATCTTAAATAGCAGACAGATATTAGTTGGAAGGCTAATTTATTTTTAATATTTCTCC